CCTCAGAATCCCAAGTCCCGGGTTCCCACTCTTCTCCCAGCATGCAGCTGGCTGGTGTCCTGCCCTCTGCTCAGATGTGCATAGGGTGGGGTGCCCTGCACTTGCTCCCTCTCCCTGTTTCTTGCTCTGCTCCCCTGAGCCCCTCTCCCTTCTTCTCCTTTTACTCTTCTTACCTCCCTCCCGCCTCTCTCTTCTGCCCCAGGGACTCATGACCGTCAGTGGGTCAGGACTCTTGTGGGCTGCACAGCCGCTCCTGGCATCAGCCAGGAATGTTGGGCGGGGGGAGGGGGGACACAAGGCTAGCTGGCGGGCAGGCTCCCTAGCTGAGCCGGGTGGTGCCGTGGTTAGTCATGGCCTCCTGGGGTCACCACAGACTCGCTCTGTGACCGGTGTGGCCCTCACCTGTGGAACCACACCAGTGAGATGTGTGATGGGGCCATGAGCAGGAGCTGGAAAGTGCCTGCCCTCGGCTCCCAACAAAGGCACACGCGGTTCCTGCCATCCCAGCCCCCAGCCCCTCAGCAGGAGGCGCCCCACTGCCCCGGTCCATGCTCCCACAGGCTCCTTCTGCAAAGGGGAAGAGTGAGGAAAACGGGGGCCACACGGGGCCCCAGGCGCCTGGCCCCCTCAGCACCAGAGGGCAGCACGCCTTCTTCCAGGTCTCTGGGGCCCGGCCTGGCAGACTCTGAACCCGGACACTGCAGGTCACCCCTCCCTGTCCTGGCAGCAGCTGGCCCTCTGCCTGCGTCGCTGTCTGCCTCTCTCTGCACCTCCATGTGCCTCCGCCTCGCACGGTCTCTCCTGGGCCTCTCAGGTGGCCCTGTGGTTTCTGTGTGTGTCTGTCACTCTCCAGTTCTCTCTCTTGCCTGGCTGGTGTCTCCCGAAGTCTCTCCCTGTCATGCTCTCAGACTCTCCGCTAACCACTAGGCCATCTGTCCCCACCACCTCTACTTCCCCAGATGTCCACATGGAGGACACCCCGGCCCAGTGGCCAGCGCCCACCCCGCAAGGGGGAGGCGGGCGGCTGCGCGGGAGCCTCTGACCTGGCACTGCCCCTCGCCGCTGCGGTCTGCTCCAGCTCCCTGACGTCAAACCTCAGAATAGCTCGGCCCCTTGCCTGGCGGCCCCGGGTCAAACGCCAGTGGGGCGGGAATGCAGTGTGGGGTCCTGGCGCAGCATGGACCCTCCCTCATGGCCGGGACTTCCAGCCGCCCCAGCCTCCCCGGGCTGCCCGTAAATTCTTGGCATTTTCAGCCCTGGGTTATCCAAACAAGAAATGAATCTCGGTTGCTGAACCAAACCTCTTGGGGTTTGATTTCCTAACCTTCCCCTGGCCGCGTTCTGCTCGGGGCTGGGGGTGGGGTGAGGAGAACAGCATCTATGCCCTGGAGGAGGAAGGCTGTTTTCCCGAGAGAGGAGCCTAGAAAGGCTGGCACAGATGCCCAAAGCCTAGGGGTGGCCTGGCACAGAGGCCGCAGAGGCCCCGAGCACGGCTCCCTCCCCCCACAAAACGGGTTTATTTGTTCAAGTGCCTGGCCCGGCCATCCCATGGGGGCAGGGCATGTGTTTCTGGCTCCTTCCTTCCAGCCCCAGAGCTCGGCGGGCTGGATGCACACAGACCCTCTCCCTCGCCTCTCCGTGGGCAGGAAATGTGAGAAAACAGCCCTAGGTCTGTCCCCCGAGCCCGCACCTCTGGCCTCTGAGCGTTTGCTCCGCCACAGAGCCGGCCCTGCATGCCTGGAACGGGCCCCGGGAACCCCTGTGGGATCCGAGGAGGACTGGGCTGAGGTCAAGTGGCCCCAGCGGTACCACGGACCAGCTGTGGGGTTCTGGGCAGCCACCACCTGCATCATTCGGTTCCTCTAAGAAGCGGAACTGAAAACACTCCCCGCCTCCCAGAGAGAGCGCAGGATAAAGGAAGACAACCAGCATGGACTTACCGTGCGCTGGACCCCCTATGTGAGAAAATTGTCCCATTTCTTTCTCACAACAAGACTGTGGAGCAAGGTTGTTCACCCATTAATGGATGGAGAAACTGAGGCACCAAGCGGTGCCACGGCTCCCACCTCAGGCCTTTGCACTTGGCTTTCCCTCCTGACTTTCCACAGCTGGCCCGTCTCGTCCTCTCAGCTCAGGGGAGGGTCTCCCTGCCACTCTGGCTCACCGTGCCCTCGAGCCCAATCATGACTCCATCCTATTCTCTTCAGAGCAGGTGTCACTATTGGAATGTAACTGAGGGGTTTAGTGGCAGTGCACTGGAGTCAGGTAACTTGCCGATTTTGTTCACTCCTGATTCCATAGCGCCTAGCAAAGTGCCTAGTGCGAATAGGTACTCGAGAAATAACTCCTGGCAGAATACATGAGTGAAACTTAGGGTGGGGACTACTTTGAGGAAACGTGTTTATGATGATGTTATATATGGAATGTCTGAAAGAACTTTGTGTTGGTGGGTTTTTCTTATTGTATTTTATTCCGCATTCAATGAAATTCACCCTTTTAACCTATAGTTCTAGGCGGTGTGCTTGTTTTGTTTTGTTTTTAATGCTTGCCCGAGGATATTTTCCCACTGATTTTTTAGAGAAAGTGGAAGAGAGAGGGAAAGACAGAGAGAAATATCAATTGGTTGCCTCTTGCACACGCCCCAACCAGGGCCCAGGCCAGGGAGGAGCCTGCCACCAAGGTACGTGCCTTTGACGGGAATCGAACCTCAGACCCTTTGGTCTGCAGGTCACCACTCTATCTACTGAGCCAAATGGGCTGGGGCTGTTCTGTGAGTTTTGACAGATGTGCAGTCATGTAGCACCACCACAGTCATGATAGAGACATCGCACACTCCGAAAAATTCTATCGCCCTTTGTAGTCAGTCCTTGCCCCCGGGCCTGAGCCCCCGCAACCTCGGATTCTGACTTTTCCAGAGTCAGACAAACAAACCAAACCAAAGGCGTGTAGCCTTTGGAATATGCGGGCTTTGTTCCTCAGCAAAATACCTCGGACAGCCCCTCGGGTTCCTTCCTTTATGCAGCTGAGCAGGGCCATTGGCTGGATGGACCCAGGCTGTTTATCTGTTCCCCGGAGGAAGCCTTCTTTATTTAAATACTGCGGGAGGAAAGGGGTGTGAGAAGATTTCCTTGGCCACCAAGACTCACCCACAGACACTCACCCGTGCTCTTCCCGAAGCACCGTTCTTCCTCCCCCCGCCCCTGCCTGACCAGATTCCTTTCCTTTCTTCCAAGCCCTTTCCAAGCGCCCTCTCCTCCGTGAGGAGCAGTGTCCCGTCCCCATGCCTCAGGCTGGTCAGTGAGCTCAGAGAAGCCGAGCCCTCAATGACCAGAGGCCCACCGCTGCAGGGGAGCAGAGCCAGAGCTCAAACCCAGGGCCAGCGGGGAAGATCAGCCTCTGCAGGCTGGAGGGGTGCTGGGAGTCCCCATCTTAGCCCTAAAAACTTGCCAGCGTGAGGGTGAGGGGGAAGGGATAAGTCTAATGGTGGGTGGGAGGAAGCTGTGGCACACCCCATCACCTGCGGGTACTTTCATTGGGATCCCCCCGCCCCACCCTTTCAGCCGGCTCCTGAGCCCTGGTATGAACCCAACTCCTCCCACATAGGCTGACATCAGTCTCCAGGGTCCCACCTTGGCCATACTGGGCCCATCTGGCCTGGATTACCCATCCCAGAGCCCGCGCTGGTGAGTGGGTGAGGCAAATTAGATAATGAGCCCCAGCTGCCCGCAGCCTTTGCCCCACTCAACCCCTTGTGGCCAAAGGACAAGTGAGAGACCAATGAGGGAGTTCCTGACACTCAAGATGACCCTAAGCCACCCTGAGGTCCCACCCAGCTCTGCAGACCTGAGGAAGCCCCTGAGCAAGGAGTCTTGGAACCTAGCCCGCCAAGTAGTGGCCTTGGGCACGTCTTCTGGACCTCGGTTTGTCCCTCTGCAGCAGAGGCTTGGGGGATGGCTGCAGAGGTGTTCAGGCAGGAATGGACTTGCTGCTCGAGAGTGTGGGCCAGGAGCTCAGGGCCTAGGAGTCCTGGGGGTGGGGGTGGTGCAAGGGATTCTACAGAATAGGTGATATTTTTCCTTGAGCGTGGAAAACACAGCTTTTATTGTATTATTCTTTATGCTTTTTTTTTTGTATAGGTGTGAAGTATACTGTAATAATGTTGTTAAAATTTTTAAGGTGGGGGTTAGAATGGAGATGAGAAAAAGGAAACAATTTGTTCAGAATAATTAAAGTTATACTACTAAGGGGACCAGAGAAATTGGAGGCATAGTTGAAGGGGTCTGGGGTGTCCAAGTTTTTTTTTTTTTTTTTTTTTTTTTTTAGAGAGAGAAACAAAGGGAAAGGGAAAGAGAGAAACACTGATCTGATCAGCTGCCTCCTGCACACCTGCTGCCAGGAAGACGTGCCCAAGGCCACTACTTGGCGGGCTAGGTTCCAGGCCTCTAGTGTAACATAAAGTCAGGGACTGGTAAGTGACAAGAAGAGACCTGAAATGACATGAGGGAGTGAGCCATTTGATGGGGAGGGTGAGGGAGGGAACGGCATGTGCAAAGGCCCTGAGATAGGCACATGCTCGCTGGGTTGGAGGGATGTCATAGAGGCCAGCGCCTCTAGAGCGAGGGAGGAAGAGAGGACTAAAGAGAGATCAGAGTGGTGGCGGGAGGCCAGGTCACACAGCAAGCGGCAGGAATAGCAGACTGGCTTTCCCTGTGAGTAAGGTAGGGGCCTGGGAGAGGTTTGAGCGGAGGAAGAATGTGATGTGACTTAGTTAAATGGGATCCCCCGGCTGCTGAGCGGAGGATAGACTAGGCAGAGAGGGACAAGGGTGGAGGCAGAGAAGCCAGGGAGAAAGCTGCTGGGAAAGCCCAGGCAGGGTAATGGTGGCCTGGCACTGCAGAGAGATCTCTCCTGGTTGTTCCATGTCCTTCGTGGAGACATAGGAAGGGGCAGGAGCCTCCCCGGCACTCCTGCCCATGACCGTGCCCACGGTCTCCCCACAGCTGGAAAGGTACATCCAGATGAACCTGAGGTCGCAGCTGGCGCAGGCGCGACAGCATGTGGTCCAGAACCAGACGGCCGCCGTGCTGGAGCTGGGCACCAGCCTCCTGAACCAGACCACCGCCCAGGCCCACCGCCTGACCGACATGGAGGCTCAGGTACCAGGGGGTAGCGGGTGGCATTGGGAGAAGGGGGGACTGCGGCCAACCAGGCTGACTCACAGCCCAGGTCATCTTTTTTTTTTTTTTTTTTTTTTTAATATATTTTATTGATTTTTTACAAAGAGGAAAGAAGAGGGATAGAGAGCTAGAAACATCGATGAGAGAGAAACATTGATAGCTGCCTCCTGCACACCCTCCACTGGGGATGTGCCTGCGACCAAGCTGGAGCTGGGGGCAGTGATGGGAAGAACAAACTTAGGATGAAGATCATACACTCAGTGAGTGAGTGAGTAAGTGAGTGAATGAATGAATGAGTGAATGAATGAACAACCACAGGAACTAACTACTGGGAGGGTGAAAACAGGCCAGCAAGATTCTGGGATGGCAGAGCCCGTGGGCCGGTGGACGGGTGCTGGGAAGGCCTTGGGCAGGCCTCACACAGCCCCTGCCCCTCCTGCTGGCCGAGGCAGGTACTGAACCAGACATCCAGAATGGAGATCCAGATGCAGGAGACCTCACTGTCCACCAACAAGCTGGAGAAGCAGCTGTTCCTGCAGGGCCTCGAGCTCCACCGGCTGCAGGACTACAACAGGTGGGCACTGGCACCAGGCAGGGGAGGGCTGGGGCCCAAGCCGAGGGCCAGGGCTGGGCTGGAGCCAGGGCCAGGGTTGGAAGCTGGATGTGGGCTAGTGCCTGGGACAGGGGCGGGGACCGAGCTAGAAGCCTAGATTAGGACTGGAGTGGGACATCGTTTGGGGGCTAGGGCTGGAGCTAGAGCTGGGGCTAGGCCAGGGCAGTGACAAGGACTAAAATTAGGATTGGAAACCAGACTGACCTTGGAGGGAAGGTAGGCACGGGACTGGGCTGAGGCTGGAGCTGGGGGCCAGGCAGGTACAGGGCCTGGGTGCGGACAGGCATTTTCCTGGAGCTCAGAGCACCCTGATTCTTTCTTTCTCCTTCCTTGCTTCCTTTCTTCCTTTCTCCATTTATATATTTTGTAAAATTTTTTAACAGCTTTACTGAGCTACAATTTATGTACCATACAATTTACCCTGTAAGTTTTAATTTGATTTATTTATTTATAAAAAGAAATAATAACAAATCTGATCTCATTCACCAATTTCCCTTCCCAGAAGCAAGCACAGTCAGTTACCAATTTCCTGTCTGCACGGTAGAGAGTCTCCGCATTTATCAGCAAGTACGTGTGAGGGGAACACCCTTCAAACTACAAAGAGAGAAGAGTCATGGGGTATAGCTAAGGCAGACACCCAAGGCTGATTTCATCTCCATTTCGAGCTGAGTAGAGAAAAATCTGCCAAGGTCAGGGTGCCACTGCCCGTGGACACAGCGAGGTGTGATTGCCGCTCATGTGATGGGTCCAGATAAGGCCAGGAGGACCGCCCCGCCCCCCTGACCTGGGTGCAGTTAATGACAGCTTGTCGCCTTCCGATTCTCACCCTCCCACCCCCAGGTGGGGCTGGGCAAAGGCCTGGATGCCTCTCATCACTCTGAATGGGCACCAGGTGCCTAGAAGTCCATGCGGAGGGATGGCATCGGTTAGCTCCTGGCCCTTGGAGGTGGCTAAAATTCTAGAATCCCAGTGTGCCCCAATTCTCTCTTTTCCTGAAATTAGGAGTCCAGGGGGAATCCCCGCTGCCCTGGCTGGGCGTGGTGTGTTAGCCTGGAGAATGGGTCAGCATAACCTCACACATAAGAAAGCCTTTCCCTCCCTTCCCTTCCCCTCAGCCACCCACCCACCCACCGGCCGCAGAGGACACCAGTGTTCCTAGTTTTCTGTGTCTCCTTCCATCATTCAACCAACAATATTTGGGGGGCAGGGAGGAGGAGGAAATATATAAATATATATATATATATATATATATATATATATATATATATATATATATATATATATTTTAGCTCTTATCACGTGTCAGGCACTATTTATAGACCCGGGGGTTAGAGACGTGAACAAATAGACAAAAATCCCGGTCCTGGTAGAGCTGACATTCTCGAAGCGGCTCTAAGAAGGTTTCTTATAGATCTGTGTGAATAGTCAATGCGTGGATATAGCTGTGTATGCACTTTGCCCTGGAAACGGTTCTCCCCGTGCTCATTCTCCTCTCCCGCCCCTGCATGTATCTCCACATCCCGGACTCACGGGTCCTGAGGCTGTCTCCAAGGTCTGGCAGTTGAGCCAGGGTTGCGATGAACAGCAAGCATTCCACGTCTCACGTCTGTGCAAAAAAATGCCGAACGTGGAAGGGCTCAGTCAAAAGCCTTTTTCTTTTAAAAACTTCTTTTCCCCAAATCATTACAAAAATGCCTCGTGCTTACGCCATCGGACGGTAGAGACCTGTGTAAGATGGAAGGGAAAGTCGGCTCCCTCCACCCAGCCCCTCTTCCCCCTCCCCACCGCCATCTGCTCCCCACCTCCATCTGCTCTGGCCGGCTCTGCAGAAGTCACAGTGCTTAGTGAATCCTTTCGCTTTTTCTTTCGCTTTTTCTGCAACGCGGGCAGGCAGCACGGCCTCCTCCCACGTGCTTTTCTGTGCCTTTTCTTGTAAGTTCACCTGCAACTCTCTACATTTACATAAATGCTTTTCTTCTTTCTCTCTTTTTTGTTCTCCCACATGAGGGGTTAACCTAGAGGCATTGGTGTGCCCTGGGCGTCTTGCCAGTCCTGTGCCAGGGATTCTGCCTCCTCCTCTTCGCGGCTGCAGGCTATTTCCAGGAACACGAGCCAGAACAGACTCAGCTGGCCTTGGTTGCTGGGCGCTTAGGCTCTTCCGTCCTCTGACAACAAATCCCCGGGTGGCCTCTGCTCCCTGGACAGTCCTGGGAGAGGGGCCTGCAGGACCAAAGGCGAGCAGATTGGGATTTGATCGTGGCCACCGGTTGCTGGCATGTTCCTCCCAGCCCCACCTCTTCCCTCTGCGGACCCAAACCTATCCTACAGGACTGAATCTCTCTTTCCTTCGTTTCTCCTCTGGGCCGCGGGCCTCTGAGCTTTGCAACTCTGGCTGGACACTCCGCCTCTCTGAACCTCAGCGGGGGCCGTAGTGCTGAGCCACCCAGGGGCCCAGGGGAAAGTCAGAGTGTGGCTGCTGCCCGGCGGGGAGGGCACGCTCACCCCTGTGCGCCCCGCTCACCCGCAGCGCGCTGGAGAGCCGGCTGCGAGCCCTGGAGACGCAGCAGCAGGCGCAGCTGGCCAGCCTCCGGCAGGAGAAGGAGCGGCTGGGGAGCCTGCTGAGCCGCCAGAACGGCGCCCTCGCCGGCCTCGCACGCAACCTGCGCGCGGCCAGAAGCAACTCCAGCCTTTTGCAGAGGCAGCAGGACCGGCTGCTGGAGTCCATGAAGCGCCTGCTGCGCACCGTGGCCCTGGGCCCGCGAGAGCAGGGTACGATCTGTGTGTGGGTGTGGGGGGGGCGGGGGGGAGAGAGAAAGGTGGGGGAACACATCCTGCTTACCCTCCCGGTTCATTCCTGAGCCTCAGCCTGGAAGCCACCCAAGGGAGAGGCCTCACCCCTCTCCCACCACCTGTGAAATAGCAATAACAGCAACAAATAATAATACCGATGACAAGTCCCAGCAGGAGCCAATCCAGACTCTTCTCCCTGACTCCATGAGTAACCCTGGGCATGCCCCGTCCCTCTCTTGTCCCCATCTGTTTAATGGAAATGATGATAGTAACAAGGGCATCACCAGCTTAGGTGAACACTTTTGGGTTTCAGCGTTCCCACTTGCTGGGCTCTCTCCACCCCTCCCTGGGTCCCGTCTCCCCACCTATAGAACAGGGGGTTGAGACTCAGTGTTCCCCCAAAGGCTTCTCTCATCCTAACACCCTTGCCCACGAGCCAACGAGGCCCAAAGAGAAGTAAGGTGGCACCTCTGGCCCTGACTTCCAGGTCCTTCTGACGGGCCCCACCCACGTGGCCAAGGCCCTCCTGGGGCCAGTTCAATCCCTCAGCCAACAAACAGTTCCTGGGCGCCAGGCCCAGTGCTGGGTGCTGGGCATACAGCAGTGAACAAGATAGTCATAGCCTGTGTCTCTTGTAAAAATGCCCACCCCACCCACATCCCGCCTGTGTGTCTCTGAGGGAAGGAGAAGAACATGCATGTTTGTCGAGTGCCTACTACGTGCCAGATGCTCTGCTGGCCGTGTTTCTGAACTTCGCAGACCACGAAAGGCCTAAAAGGCTGCGCTAAGGAAAGGGGACTTTAACCGAGGGCAGCAGCTAGGACTGGTTAGGGTGCTTGATTGGAGCCACGGTGTGGAGGGTGGCATGGTGAGAAAGACCCAGGAAAGGGTGCCGCTGCCTCCGGGTCGCCATGGGGGAGCTGAAAGCCAGACAGCACAAGGAATCCAGCTGTCGTGTGGGATGCCAGGCTGTGGCTGGCAGCGATTGGGGGACAGAGGATGGTACCAGGGCTCCATCTAAGTCGGGCATACTCTGCCCAGGGAATGCCTATGCCTGGTGGAGGTGAGGTCTGAGTCATTTCATTTGTGATCTAGGAAAAACTGCTTCTTTCTGACAGGTGCCCCAGCTCCAGGACCTGGGATCCAGGTTCTAGTTTGGGGCCAAAACAGGAAGTCCTGCCCCCTGGAAGCCTCCTGGTTCCTCATTGGCGAGGATACCTGTCTACCTGGAATGTTAGCCCATCCTTAGATAACCACCTACCTAGAGATTGGATTCTGAAGGACTCGTAGCTCAAGTCTACAATTGGACCCCTCTGAAAGGAGGCAGAGGGGGGATTTCAATCCCGTTCTATTGGTCAACAGCCTTTTTTTTTTCCTTTTTTTTTTTCTTTTCACATCAGGCTTAAGGCTCCCAGGGCGCTAGTGGGATTCAGACACTAATATTCTCCTGACGGAAGAAACATGGGCTCCTAAGATTGGTGGTCAGCTCACAGTGGGGGCATAAGGGGCACCTACCTCCAGGCTGCAGGGATATCCAGGGGGAGGGGTGGTCTGTGGAGGGGACTCTGAGCCGCCCACCCAAGGGAGCTCCAAGGACAAATCCCACCTCATGTGTCCTCCTTCCTGAGCCAGCTTTCCCTGCTCCTCTCAGGTTGATCAGGCAACCAGAGCTTTCTCTGGCCTCAGACAGGTTCTCATACTGTGAGTCATTCCCCCTCCCGGCCTCACTCAGTTCCCCTCACTGCGCCCTGTTCCCTGCACACACCAGGACTGTTCCCACCTTGGAGCCTTGGCATCTACTGTTCCCTTTGCCTCTCCTGTGCCACTTGGGCAACGCCTGCTCCTCACCCAGGTCCCAGCTCGCTGTCACTTCCTCTAGGAAGCCTTCCCAGGCCTGGGTATCTCCCTGTGCCCAGCCCCTCCCAACCAGGAGCCTGGCACTGAGCAGGCAGGAGCGCCCACCTGGCCTCTTCTCTCTCTTCTGAGCTCACCTGCAGTTGTTTTTGCTCCGTCCAGTTGCAGCTGAGCGGGTGTTCCAGGACTGTGCAGAGATCCAGAGCTTCGGGGCCAATACCAGTGGCGTCTACACCATCCACGTGGCGAATATGACGGAGCCCAGAAAGGTGAGGGTGCTCCCTGGGGACTGAGGTTATCAGGGGTGCTGAGCCAAGGGCTTCGCAGACACATCCTCCTCCCTCGTCAACTTCAGGCCTGTCCCACATCTTAGATCCCAAAGAAGGTGGGGTGGCCCTTCCTTCTAGAAAAGAAGGGATTAACACGGAAGTTCCCAAAGTTGGAAGTGCACCCTTCTCCTGCATCTTCCCCAGAGGCGCTTTTAATCGGAGTCACAGGAAACAGTTCTGTGTTGGTTAAGGTCATGCTAGCTGAGGTAACAAACAACCTCTGAAATTCCAGGATGTTAACATAAAGAAGTTTATTTCTAGTTGGCATATAGTCAGGTGAAGGCAGGAGTGGGGGCTCTCTGCTCCGCTGGGAAGTTGGGGACTGTCTTCAGTGAGTGGCTCCCAAGGTTGCCCTGAGCTTTGAGGGCCAGTTATCAGATGGGCCGGGGGCTGTGGGAGGGGGTCAAGGGAAAGTGTGGAGGTGAGGAGGGAGGGCTTGGGGCCAGGCCCAGGAGTGGGAGGGTATGAGGAACAATTTTTCAGTCTTCACACTTCATACTTCCCTTTTCCATTTCCTTTCAGCTCTTCTGGGTATCTAAAGGACAATGGCTCAGTTCGTTTCCATGTTATCTTTAACACACCTGCGAGAGCCCCCTTTTACCAGAGAGAGATCAGGCTCTCCATTTCTAGCTAGAATTTCGTAACACAACTTTTTCATTATATTTATTTTAAACAAATCTGAACAAAGGCAACTGTTGTTAGCTTTCCACTTATGGTACTTATAAGAAGTCCTTTTAAAGTGTACATTCTATATGAAATTAAATAAATTGAGCTTTGGTTTAATTTGGGAAGGTGTGAATGGCTGAAATTTGGGAAGAGGGAAGAGCTGGCCTGGGAGGCAGGAGATCTGTGCTCAAACCTCAGCTTTACCTTAGACTCACTTGCTTTGAGCCAATCCCTTTCCCCATCTCTGGGCCTCAGTTTTCCTTCCTGCATCCTCTGGTATCCTCACAATGATACCCCTGTCTTCCCTTACTGAGCAGGCCTTTCCCATCTCAGAGCCTCACCTCCTGCTGCTCCTTCCATTCAGAATGCCAGACTCAGGCACATTATCAACCAAGGCCCTGCTCCAATGCCACCTCCTCTGGGAAGTCGGTTTTCCAGTGGCTCCTTTTTGACGGCTCTCCTTATAGCCGCCCAAATGTTTGTCATCAACAGTCTGCCTGCACTATCCCAACCTCCTCCAAACCAAGTCAGTTTACAAAATGAGGGTCAATGTACATCTGATCTGTCTCTGACTTTTCTGACCCGGGGCCAGGCACCAAGTTTGTCTTCATTGAACAACGAACATGTAATGAACTGGAAAAAATAACATGTGAACAAAGGTTAGACTGAAAGATGTGATTGTCATAGATGGTAAGCATTTTGAGAGAAAGAACTCTTTGTCTCTCCCATATTGGCATCCAGTGCTTTGAATGGATTCCGGCCCATAGGAAATGTTCAGAAAACATTTGTCCACTGAATGGAATAGCATTTATTGAGTCTATGTGGTATGCCACGCACTCTACACTTATCAGCATTTAATCCTTACAGCAACCCAGCAAGTGAAAAGCCTGTATTGATTTAGTGCCTAGTGCATGCTAGGCTCTGTTCTTTAGATGATTCATCTCATTTAATTCTCACAACAAGCCCAGTTTGCAGATGAGAAACTGAGGTGCCAGGAGGTTAAGGTATTAACAGCCCATTTTACAGATGAGGAAAGAAAGGCCCTGAGAGGGCCTCACTTGCCCTCTTGGGGAAAAATGACAATGGGTGGGGAATTTGAACCTGGGTCATTTGACCACCAGGCTCACCTATTGTTACGTGAGGTTTTGTTGGCCGTATCACGCTTGAGCTGGCCCACACACCTGGCTTCTGGCTGCCTCTACGGACTCCCAACCCCCTCTCCTCACCAATTCCCTCAGGTTTTCTGTGACATGGAAGCCAATGGAGGTGGGTGGACCCTCATTCAGCGCCGTGCGAACGGCAGTGTGAATTTTCAGCGGAACTGGAACGATTACAAACAGGTAACAATGCCGCCCTGAGGAGCGGCTTTTCAGCCCTGAAATCTGGGGTGGGAGGTGGGTTGTGGACAGGGGGATGATTTGTCCTTAACCCTTCCAAATAAATAAATAAATAAATAAATAAATAGATAGATAGATAGATAGATAAAAATAAAATAAAATAAAATAAAATAAAATAAAATAAAATAAAATAAAATAAAGCAGCCCATCCAAAACCAACCACCTTCAAACAAACTTTCCCGGTGCACATTCACTTCCATGGACTCTATGCTCTAAATTTAGACCTTCTTTTAGAAAGTTCTGGCATATATCAAATAATGAAACTTTAACTTCTTTTTGTTTTAAATTTTAAAAAAGATGACATATATACAGTGCTAAAAAAAAAAAAAAAAAAAAAAAAGTAAGACTACAAAGAAAGGGAACATCAAAATCGTAATCTCTCTCTCCCACTCCTAGCTGCACTGCTTACATGAATTGTCTTGTCTTTGTATGCATAGGCAACCACATCTGCAGGAGAAAATCTGTCTGTAATGTGGAATTGCTGGCTCAAAAACCATGTGCATTTTACAAGATAAGAAGTAGACATCAATTGTCTTCCAATTTTTTTCAATTAAATTATGAATGAAGGATTTCTGGCCAGCTAGCTGAAAAGCTCTTATAGTTCTCAAAAGCAAAAGAAATGGGCAAAGATACCCACAAGGAAATATAACAATATTTGTTTGTGTGTGTGCCTGCTTGCTGTCCATTTGATAAATACTTAAATACCAAATTGAGCTCTGAGTGTTGTTGAAACACTCATTTTTTATTTGAAACAGTCATTTAAATAGCAAAGATATAGAGGGTGCTCAGATCCAGAAATACAGAAAAGTGTGCTGCATATTAACCACAATACGAATCAGCAGCACAGCAAGGCTAAAGTGGGGAGTGGGGCTAAGGTGCGCCCTGTCCTTGGTGCTGAATTGTTGTTCTGGCCCAGGACTTTGATTTCTCGTCACCCTAGAACGCCCGTGACTCTCTTTCCTTTACATACCTATGTTGCTGGAATTTTGTAGTTGCTTCCATGTCACTGAACAAAGTTTGCCCCATCATTTTTGCGGTTGATTAAAATCTTTAATTTTTAAATTGAGATTTAACAGAGATGTACTAAGTGCACAAACCTTAAGGGTAAATGTCAGTGCATTTTTGCATAGGTGCTCGTCCATGTGACCACCCTTCAGATATAGATATAGGACACTTCCAGCACCCCAGAAGCCCTCCGTGGGCTCCCCCAAGCAGTACTCCCCCAAAAGAAGTTGTTATTCTGGCTTCTATTAACACAGATTAGATTGGCCTGTTCTTAAACTTCGTAGAACGTGATTCGATTGTTTTAACAGACTTTTATAGTTGCAAATGTTTTAGTGTTTTTTTGCTCCAGAAGTTGGGGAGCTCCCCTCTCCCCAGTTCTGCCTACACTGTACTTTGTGAACTTGACCATTAGGCTAAGTGGTTTTGGATAAGTGACCCCAGGCCCTGGCCCGGCCCAGCCTCTCAGCCTGAGGCATAGCCTCCCTCCTTGGCATACAGCCCACCCTGACCTTCCTCTCTTCCTAGGGCTTTGGCGATCCAGCTGGGGAGCACTGGCTGGGCAACGAGTTGGTGCACCATCTCACCAGCAGGGCAGCCTACTCTCTGCGTGTGGAGCTGCAAGACTGGGAAGGCAACGAGGCCTATGCCCAATATGAGCGTTTCCAGCTGGGCAGCGAGGGGCAGCTGTACAGGTGGGCTCAGGCCCAGGCTGGTGGGTGGACTGAGGATGCTGGGCTAGTGGCTACGAAGTCGGCACCAAGGGTCAGTCCCTGGGCGTTCCCTGTTCCTACCATCTGTCCCCCATTTGGGAGCGCATCACGGGATCTGGAGGCGGCCGGTTAGCACTCAGCACCTCCTAGCCACGGGGTGGGCTGGAGACAGTGCTGCTGATGCTGTCGTTTCGTGAGCAGAAAGGGCCTTCCAAGGTCAGTCGCCCTAAGGCAGTCACCATACAGAGACTCGGACTTCCCAGCGTGCCTTGTGCTACGGGAGGAGATGGAAAGGTCACCTGGGCTGGGGATCGGGGACCTGGGCTCATTCTGCCTCTGCTTCAGCTCACTTTGAGAACTTGGATGAGTCAAGGTTCTGGCTTCTCTGCACCTCTGCTTTTTAACAACAGGGTGGGCTTGAATATGAGCATATCATAAAATCACCGAGGCCTCCCTCCTTCCGCCTGGTTCTGGGCTCAGTTTAGGGAAAGGCATGAGCATGTATTGATCACCTACCATGTTCCAGGCACATTACTCTACCTGACCTCCCACAACACTCTGAGGTGAGCGTTGCTGTACCTCTTTTGGCGATGTGGAAACTGAGGCACTGAGCTGATGCCTGTGAAGGGTGAGGCATTCTCCAAGAGAGAATAGGAAGGACCTCCCAGGCAGTGGGAATGTTCTGAAAGAGACAAAGAAAGAGTTGGCATTCAGTTGGCCACAGACACCTGAAGCCTGAGCAAGGCTCTTTCAAAGGCGGCTGAGATGACCAGGGAGAGGCCCCACTCACTCAGGAAGCGCTCAGGAGACTGGGGTGGAGAGTCTGGAAAGCACGGTGGGGCCTGAAACTGCCCAAGAGGGCCCGGAGGAGAGTGAGGAGACAGGCGCTGGCCCCTGTGCCACCACCAGACCAGGTCAGCCTGCTGGTGAGGTTGGGAGGATGCCCATGGGAAAGCCCAGAGGCAGCGATGCGTTGGCAGTCAGCAGCTGGGGCATGGGCATCCGGGGCAGGAGGGGTGCCCTTATTTGTCCATCACAATAAGGGGGGCTTCTGGAGTCCAGCTGGGGCGCAGGCATAACCCTAAAGAGAAAGTGGCCCATGAGGAGGGGAAGGGGGAGGCACAGGCGAGGCACCAGGTGCACACATACAGACACTGGGCACATGCCCGCCCAGGCCTGATTACAAGACAGTCAGGCATTCACACGTGCAGAGCTCGCCACACCCCTGGGGTACATGCAGAGCCCAATATCACACAAGTGCATAGCTACACAAACAGGCACAGACACACCCAGACACATGTGCAAATGTCCCTCACAGAAGCCCTCACAGGCAAACACGCACAACCCCAGCCTCAAAGGCAGATTCCCTAGCACACCCTGGACCCGCAATAGATATTCTAGCACAAACTCAACACTCACACACACACTCACACACACACGCTAGACTGGAAGATGGTATCACGCTCCAGACACATAGACTGGGATGCAGATCCACAGACACATGGGAGACACACCGGATGTTTCTAACTTGGGGATCCCCAGAGACTCGTGTGTTTGTTTGGGTTCCCCGGGACTGAGCTATGAAATATTCAAAGTGCATCTGAACAGAGGGCCAAGTGGGGTTTCCTGGTCCATAACTGGGTCCCCCCGGAGATCACAGACCCTAGGCTGGCTCCCAAAGGGGAGAGGAAGAGAGGCAGAGCTGCGCTGAGGACTTGGGGACCAGAGAGAGGCCAGGCCAATGCTGATTCCACACAGCCCCAGACGGAGTAGGACCCCAAACGGCAGTCTGTGCCCAGAGCCTGGCTTTGAGCTGACATCACCGAGCCCTCAGGAGGAGCCCTCAGGGGCCACAAGGAAATGCCAGGACCATGTCAGCAGGTGGATCAGCCTGCTTGTCCCCAGCCTGGGAGCCCCTGGCCAGCCAGGCCTCTTGCCAGGGCCAGTTTGCAACGCCAGTCGATTGAGCCCCAGGTGGCATGTTTAAGGGCACAGAGCCTCATGGCTGGTCACAGTGATCTGGACCCCAAGGGCTATGTGCCTGCCTTGCCATAGACAGAGCCCAAAGGTGGGAGGTGCAGGGACTTAGCCAGGCCATATGCCCTGGCCCCACATTTCTTCTGGGCCCCCATGGGAAAGCTCCAGGCTCTGCCTTGGAGATCCAGAGTCCCTGAGCTGCCCTGGGGGCATCTGGTGTCCCCTTGCCATCACCGGGAGGGCCTTCTTTATTGCTCCCAAATGCATCCTCATCTCAGTGGCCAGGGCAGCCCCTTTCCTGCTATAAGAAGCCAACAGTCCAACCAGGCCAGCAGCCTGTGCCAGCGCTGTGCCAAGGGCCAGCGGCACAGGGACAAATAGCAAGCAGCCTTACCTTGCTGAGCATTTATCACGTGTCAGCGCCGCTCTGCTCTGCGCCCATCACACCCTGAAGTCATTGAATCACAATAGCTGCTCGAGGTCAGTTTAACACGCTAATTACCACCTGGACAGATGAGGAAACCGAAGCTGAGAGGCAAAGCTGTCTGCCCAAGGTTATGCCCCTGGCAAGCGGCAGAGCTGAGTGAGACTCACCACCTGGCAGAGAAATAGAAACCCTCCCCAGCGGGCTGCGGAGGGGGAAGCCATAGGGACAGGGGTTCGACGGGCACAGGTCCAGGGGGGCTGGTGTGGTCGGGGACGGCCTCCTGAGGGGGCGGGTGGATGTGAGGAGCTGTGACGGGTGGGGCTGCACATGGTCAGCGGGGGAGGAAAATGCACGGCTCCAGGCCAGGCCCAGTGGGCTGGGGTCTGGCTCCCACCCTCATTCATTCTGAAACCTTAGGCCGGCTCCTTGGCTTCTTGGGGTCTTGGTTTCCTCGTCTGTAAAATGGAAATACTTGAGTGTTGTGAGGCTTGAACGAGATGAGCTAAACCAGTGGTCGGCACACTCATGAGTGAACAGAGCCAGATATCAACAGCACAACGACTAAAATTTCTTTTGAGAGCTGAAAACCGACTTCTGTGCATGGGCTACGAAGTTTGTCACACTGTACGTGTGCGCCCGCACGCGATATTTTGAGGAAGAGGCACACTCCAGGGGCCAAAGAGCTGCAGATGGTTCTTGAGCCTGCAGTTTGCTGACCACTGAGTTAAACCATGTGAAGTGTTTTGAACAATGCCTGGCACATGTTAGATGTTTTTGTTTTTGTTTTTTTTTTACAACGTTAGCCATTGCCCTCACTGTTATCATTGCCGTGATCATGCTGCTCCTGTGTAAGACTCAGGTGCATTGAGACGAGGGAGGCCCGGCACAGGGCGGGTGCTCGGTCACTGAGAGGCAGCAGGTTAGGGAGTGCAATCCAGGAGGGCGGGGGCCTCCATAACAACCAGATCGGAGCCCCTACCTCAGCCAGCCCCCACCTGACTCTGTGCCCTTCTCCCCCTCCACCACCACCTCCGGGTGGCTTCCAGGCTTTCTCTGAGCGGGTACAGTGGCTCTGCGGGGCCCCAGAGCAGCCTGGCCCTGGAGGGCACCAACTTCAGCACCCGGGACGCAGACAACGACAACTGCCTCTGCAAGTGCGCCCAGATGCTGTCCGGAGGTGGGTGCGGGGTGCGGTGACGCCCATCCGCCCACAGGTGGGAGGTGGGAGACCCCCTGAGACACAGAGCCAGGGACAGGTGGAGACCGAGAGAGACTGCGGAACCGGCATAGAGACAGGGGGCTGGAGACAGAAAGCTACGCGGGGGCGGAAGCACAAAGGAGAGATGGAGAGAGAAATGCAGATCGGGGCGAGAGAAAGGAACATGGAGTGTGAGAGACAGACAGACCCAGAAAGGTAGAGACAGTGACCATCAGAGAGAGGATCCCGGTTTGAGAGAGACCCACAGCGTGACAGGCAAGCACAGAGACCATCAGAGAGAGAAAGAGATAGCCCCAGGGTGTTAGAGACTCAGGGGACAGAGCACTGAACCCCACAGAGAGAGGGAGATGGGGCTTGTGCGGGAGTGAGAGGGGAGGCGAGGGGGAGGAGACAGGGATGCTGGGACATAGGGATTAGGGGCAGGGTGAAAGAATGGAGGGGCTGAGGGGAGTAACAGAGACCAATGCCACCCTCCAGGGGCGCCAGGCTGGGCAGAGGGTCCGGGAGTCTCCCTCTCACCCCCCTGGCCACTCCTCCCAGCCCCTGTCTCCCAGTTGCTGACTTCCTGGGGGAGTCGAAGGCTTGCTTAGTCTTTGAGGTAGGGGATGCCCTCACCCCACTGGAGGGCCTCCAGCTCCCACAGCCTCTTCCTCCGCTCCCCCAGGGTGGTGGTTTGACGCCTGTGGCCTCTCGAACCTGAACGGCATCTACTACGCGGCCGGCCGCCACCTGCGCAAGCTCAACGGCATCCGCTGGCACTACTTCCAGGGCCCCAGCTACTCGCTGCGCGCCACCCGCATGCTGGTGCGGCCCGTGGGCACCTAACAGCAGCCCCGCCGAAGGCTGGGACCCCGGGAGGAGGCGGGACTTACTATGCCCTGGGCGAGCTGGACCAACACAGGACACGGTGCCAGGGCCTGGACACCTGGATCTCCTGAGCCAGCCCTCCTGGCCCCACGAGTCCCCACGAGTCTCCGACGCCTCGCCTCCCTGTCGTCCTCCAGCTGTGACATGGGGGGCGACTGGGGGCTCCTGTCTCTGCAGGACCCCTCTTTTCCCCAGTCTTCTGCAGGGGCCCCTGCCAACCCGAGGGTCACAATACTCTGAATGAGCTGAGAACAGACAACGTGGCTCCTCAAAGGAATACCTGGCTGGCGATGGAATTTCAGGCAGGTGGGGAGGTGTCTGCAGGCAGGAGTCTGCTCAGATGGAGACCCAGATCCTATGCCCAGGGTTGGTGGGAAGGCCATCGCCTGTTCCAAGCCTTCTCAGCCTTGAGATGCCCTTGAGCTGTCCAAGGCTGAAAGGCCTGCACCTACCCCATAACAGGAATCACTATGTCCACCCTACACGGCCCACCACTCCCCGGGCCCCACATCTGGAACTCAACCCTGGTCTCTCAAGGGCTCCGGGAGATCTCAGAGAGGTTCCTTCACCCCCATCGGGTTCCAGAACAGGCTCCGCAGAGGATAACTGCTGAGCATGCCTGTGGTCCAGAGAGAAAGGAGAGCGCAGGTAAACCAGTGTCCGCACACATTCTCAGCTGCAGGACGCGTCAGAGCCTTCAATGGGGCTGGTGTGGGCAGCTTTCTCCAGATTTCCTTATCTCTCGGTGTGGTGGATGCCTCTGGGAAAAGCTAGTCCTCAAGTGTCATGAGGAGGAGCCCCAAGGCACCATCTCCCACCCCCAGCGACCCATCCTTTCTGGCTGCAAAAGCCACAGGGAAGGTCTCAAATCGTCTCTAAAACAACTGGAAAGAAACGTTGGATTAGAACAGACACACACCATCCCGGAGCTTCCCGGCTGCTGCCAAGGCTCCTTCTGGCTCTTGGGCTGCCCTCGGCACTCCCTGTCAGCCCAGCTCAGCCTGGCTCAGGTACAGGCACTGCCAGGGACTGTCCGCACTGCCCTGGGCAGAACACCCATCTGCAGGTCCAGATCCTCCCAGGTCTAAGCCGGAACCCCCAGCCCCCTCCCCCTGCTCCATCCAACATGATGTTGCCGCGCGGGGTCTGGGGGACCAGGGCCTCCTCCTGAGCTTCTGTCAGAGGGCAAGGTCACAAAGGAGCCACAGCCGCTCTGCTGCTCCCCCATCGCCGTGCCACCCTCTCCAGTCCCCACGAGGCCCACTGTGCGCAGCGTGGTGACGTGGGCAGGCTTGGCGTCGGACAGGCCTGCTCCGGTTCTTTGGACTTGAGGCCTGTGGCTCAGCCTCTTGGCCTCGGTTATCTTGTCTGTGAAATGGAGGTGATGATACTCACTCCTATGAGACCACGCATGTCAGCGTCTGATCAGAGCCTGGTATGAAGCAGGTGCCTAATAAATATTAGTTCCCAAAGAGGTGAGAAATTGCCCCGAGTGTGTCATCCCTTCTGCTGGGCCCAGATCAGTGAGCGTGTATTGCTGTGTCCACAGCACTTACTGTTACACTGCTCTGTGCTGGGGAGGGGTGGAGAGGGGAGCTGGGAGCCTCAGGAGACTCCTCTGCATGGGGTGAACTCTCTCTCTCTCTCTCTCCCCCCAAACTCCTGTCTGCAACCCCGTTCTCTAAAAGGTCAAAAAGCTGGTTTGGTTACCCTCAGACACTTGTTTTTTGTTTGTTTGTTGTTTTGTTTTTTAAAATATATTTTTATTGATTCCAGAGAGGATAGGAGAGAGAGAGAGAGAGAGAGAGAGAGAGAGAGAGAGAGAGAGAGAGAGAGAAAGAGAGAGAAACATCCATGATGAGAGAAAATCATCCACTGATGATCTGTCTCCTGCACGCCCCCCACTGGGGAACGAGCACACAACCCAGGCACCTGCCTTTGACCGCAGTCAAACCTGGGACCCTTCAGTCTGCAGGCTGACACTCTATCCATTGAGCCAGACCGGCGAGGGCCAGACTTGTTTTTAAATATTCACCCTTCCCTCTCACCTTCCTTCCTCCTCCAAGCCAGGACTCTCCAGTGCAAGGCATAGAAACCTTATCCCAAGCAATGGATTGGCTCACATAACAAGCTTAAAAGTGGATTCAGGCATGGGTAGATCCAGACGCTCGAATGATGCCCCTCTCCACCTCCTGGCTCTGCCATCTGCCATGTGGACTTCATTCCCAGTCATGTTCGGTCCTGACCAGAGGGCCCCACCCGCTGGGCTCACGTCCTCGCACCTCTGAAACAGAGCTCCCCTGTCCCACCAGGGCATGATTCTCCCCAGCCGGGACTGGTCCCGTGCCATCCCTGCACTTACCACTGTGATTCTAATTGACCAGACCTGGGTCACATGATCTTGCCTGGAACCAGCGGGTGGGGTCTGTCCCACCTAAGTCATGCGGCATGTGGACCAGCAGTGGGGAAACAGACACTGTTTCAGGAAGGCAAGACCAGTGATCGCTTTTTCTCCGTCTCTTATCTCTCCATCTCTGTCCCCCCCCCTCCCATTCTCTCTGACTCCGAGGCCTGGCCCCAGGCTCCCCATCCCCAGGTTGCCCCAGATTATCAAGGACACAGCTGCGTCCTGCTCAGGCAATGTCAGACCCTGACCGTCTCTGAGCCTCCGTTCCCATCTGTGCAGCAAGGACGGAACACCTGCAGACCTCTAAGAGCCTCTGACAACGATGCTCATGATGGCTGCACACGAGACCAGCTGCAGGACTCTGGGCAGCACAAAGCCTGTGCTGGGCAAGCCTGGTGTGGCCTTGGCCCTGCCGGGTCTCCAGGAGCCTCTGCTCATAGGAGCTGGCTTCTGGGATACCTGCATCTGCCAGCTGCTATGCAGAATCCTTGTCACCTCTCCCTACTTCAGGCCAGTGTTCTCCTCATTTTCGTGATGAAGAAATTAGAGCTCAGAGAGGGAAAGGATTTCATCTAAGGCAGCACAGCCAATCACCGCCGACGATGCAGAGGCATCCACAAGCTGCCTCCCTCGTCCAGAGCTCTCTGAAGGCATCTTGGCACAGAACATAAAAATGCTGGAGCGGTGTCCCCTCCACCTATATCAAGGGCTGAAGGAACTTTCTGGAAAGCTCTCCAAGACCCGTCTGTCTTTCCCACTGGCACCTGGTAGGTCCTGCTGGAGCCAGACAGACAGAGCACAATGTTCCTGAGATCTCTGCATGTTCCCAGCCAAGGCTGAGGGGGAGTGCTCTGTGCACCCCCAGAGATGACAGCCAGGGCAAGCCAGGGTGGCCCTTTGCAGGGGGATGGAGCAGCCGGCATAAGGGTAGATTGTCGCCGTGGGGGATTTGACCCCTTTTTTCCAGATTGCCCAGCCCTCGATGTCTGTGTGATCCTGACCTCTCCTATTTAAAAAGGTTTCAGAAAGCTGTCAGGCTTCGGGCTTGAGGCATTCCTTCTAAAGAAAAAGTCCCAAATGGCCATCTGTTGTCCTAGATTCTAGGACCTAGAAGATCTGTCCATTTCCACCTGTCCTTTAAGGAGCAGGATGCAGTGGCTGTTCCCTGTAAGTAACGTTTATGGCAGAAATCTGGGTCCAGGTCCCACGCGTGCCCCTCCCAAGATTAACACCAGAGCCTCCAGAATCCCCAGGTGGGCTCAGTGAATGGCGAGGGGACCCCCACGGGAGGGCCTGACAGAGCAAACTCTCTGTGACGTTATCTTCGCATCTTCTTACTCTATGCCAGGCGCCTCAGCAAGAACTTCCCAAAGCCCCATAACAACCCAGTGGGACAGGGGCCATTGTCCTCCCCTCCTTTCATAGATGGGGAAACTGGGCCCGGGGAAGTGAAGTCACTTGTCCAAAATCACAAAAAGGAGGGGTGTGGAGGTGGCTTTGGTCCCACGTCACCTCCTCCAAAGCAGGCTTCCCCTTGAGCGCATGTTCCTCGTGACGGAGGTTAAAGGAATAAGAAATACATGAGCAAGGGCTGAGTTCAAGCTGGCCAGCCAATGCTTGAAACTCACAGAGGAAGACAGAAGCCCGCAGTCTCCACTGGACCGCCCTGGGCAGGGACAACACCTCCCTTCCTGCTCGGACCTCCGGCTCTTCAACACATGGGCACAGGCCCCCCAGCCCCAGTCCTCTTCTGAGCAGGACTCAAGTTTTCTCTCTTGTCAACCACCTTGGCCTTCTCCTGTGCCCTGGGCAAGGGATGGGCAGCAGCTATTGCTGGTTTATTCTAATCTGGGGAGGCTGGAAGCCCCCTGGCTAGGAGGCCCTGTCCCTCAGCCTTCGCTGTCTGTCCCTTGGTGTCTGGGAGAAGTGTCAGGATCATCATCACTAGGTCTGACTGGGTCCATAAATCAAAAGAATGGACCAGCCCCTTCCCTCTTGGGCCTCATTCTTCTCCTCCATAAAATGGGAGTGGACATCCCAACCCTGCTTGTTTCACAGGGTTGCCATGAAAATCACATACTAGTACAATGGTCCCTCTCCTCAGCAGACATTTATAGGGTACCCACCATGTGCCAGCCACTGTGCTGAGCACTGGAAATGTAGCCAGGAGTGGGTGGGAGGAAACAGAAATTCAATAGAAAGTAACCAAACAATAGCCCTGGCTGGTGTGGCTCAGTCCATACACAGAGAGGTCGCCAGTTCAATCCCAGCTGGGGCACATGCTTTGGTTGCAGGCTTGAACCCCAGTAAGAGAAGTGCAGGAGGCAGTTGATGGATGTTTCTCTCTCTCATCGATGTCTCTTTCACCCTCTCCCTCCTCTCTCTCTAAAATCAATAAATACTTTAAAAAAATAACTAAAGAACAAAATGTACAGTGCCAGTGCTAGGGGAAATACACCGTGCCGTTGGAGCAAGGGTGTCAACTTAGAGGGAAAAGTGAGAAGGAATTAAAGATGGGAAGAACTGGATGAACAGGACAAAGAGGATTCCACGCAGAGGGAATAGCACATGCAAAGGCCCAGGCGCTGGCCCAGGGGAAAGCATCAGAGCACGGGGGCAGAAGCGGCCACAGCTTTAACAGGGGCTGGGTGGGCAGGGCCTTGGGTACCAAGCTGAGAAGAGAACACAAAAAGATGCAGCCATAGCAGCAGGAAGCCAGTGCCCGGGAGTCACTCAGAACCCACAGGCTTTCTCCTCCTCCAATGTGAGTGTGTGAACTTTCTCCTCCTCCAATGTGAGTGTGTAAACTTTCTCCTCCTCCAATGTGAGTGTGTAAACTTTCTCCTCCTCCAATGTGAGTGTGTAAACTTTCTCCTTTTTCAGTGTGAGTGTGTAAACGTTCTCCTCCTCCAATGTGTGTAAACGTTCTTCTCCTCCAATGTGAGTGTGTAAACGTTCTTCTCCTCCAATGTGAGTGTGTAAACTTTCTCCTCCTCCAATGTGAGTGTGTAAACTTTCTCCTCCTCCAATGTGAGTGTGTAAACGTTCTTCTCCTCCAATGTGAGTGTGTAAACGTTCTTCTCCTCCAATGTGAGTGTGTAAACTTTCTCCTCCTCCAATGTGAGTGTGTAAACTTTCTCCTCCTCCAATGTGAGTGTGTAAACTTTCTTTTTCTCCAATGTGATTGTGTAAACTTTCTCCTCCAATGGAGTGTGTAAACGTTCTTCTCCTCCAATGTGAGTGTGTGAACGTTCTTCTCCTCCAATGTGAGTGTGTAAACATTCTTGTCCTCTAATGTGAGTGTGTAAACGTTCTCCTCCTCCAATGTGTGTAAACTTTCTCCTTTTCCAATGTGTGTAAACGTTCTTCTCCTCCAATGTGAGTGTGTAAACTTTCTCCTTTTCCAATGTGAGTGTGTAAACGTTCTCCTCCTCCAATGTGTGTAAACTTTCTCCTCCTCCAATGTGAGTGTGTAAACGTTCTTCTCCTCCAATGTGAGTGTGTAAACTTTCTCCTCCTCCAATGTGAGTGTGCAAACTTTCTCCTCCTCCAATGTGAGTGTGTAAACTTTCTCCTCCTCCAATGTGAGTGTGTAAACTTTCTCCTTTTCCAATGTGAGTGTGTAAACGTTCTCCTCCTCCAATGTGTGTAAACTTTCTCCTCCTCCAATGCGAGTGTGTAAACGTTCTCCTCCTCCAATGTGTGTAAACTTTCTCCTCCTCCAATGTGAGTATGTAAACGTTCTCCTCCTCCAATGTGTGTAAACTTTCTCCTCCTCCAATGTGAGTGTGTAAACGTTCTCCTCCTCCAATGTGAGTGTGTAAACGTTCTTCTCCTCCAATGTGAGTGTGTAAACGTTCTCCTCCTCCAATGTGAGTGTGTAAACTTTCTTCTCCTCCAATGTGAGTGTGTAAACATTCTTTTTCTCCAATGTGAGTGTGTAAACATTCTTGTCCTCTAATGTGAGTGTGTAAACGTTCTCCTTTTCCAATGTGAGTGTGTAAACGTTCTCCTCCTCCAATGTGTGTAAACTTTCTCCTCCTCCAATGTGAGTGTGTGAACTTGTGCAAGT